CCAGGGCCAAGGTCTGCACTGAGCCAGCTGCTGAGTTGCGGACCTTGCTGCATGGGCTCAGCCAGGTGCTGTGGATTCCCTGAACCATTCTGTCCAGCTGCTGCCACTTGTGTGGATACTCATCCTGTTCCTGAGGTTGCAGAGCTGCCTGCCTGCAGCCCTGGGGTCAGGCCAGGGCAGCATGTGGGTCCCTGTTCCCACTGCTGCAGTCCCAGGATGCCGGACATGCAGTGGGAGGCCAGCCCTGGGCTCTCATCCTGATCCTGAGACCCTTCTGTGGCCTTCCTCATCCACAGGCTGAAGCTGGGGCTCCATGACACCCCCTGAAATGGCCTGTCTGGCTCTCTGGGGGCCTCTTCTGGGGAATCAGTGCTCACCAGTGTCTCTGGGGTGGCTCTAGGGGACCTGACCCAGGCAAGCATTACCTCACTCACTCCCTTTGTTCTGTCGCTATAACTTCCCTGGCACTGGTGGTTTATGAAGAGATTTATTTTGGCTCATGGTTCTGCTGCCTGGGAAGTCCAAGACCAGGGCTGATCTGGCGAGGCCTTGCCCTGCTTCAACTCATGTGGGACATGGGGGATCATGAGGCCAGGAGGAAGCCAGGCAGAGGCTAGGGAACAAGACTCACTTGTACAACCTGCTCTCCAGGTAGTCACCAGGCACTGGAGCAGGGCTCTGCCCCTGACCCAACTCCCCCCACCAGGCCTGAGCCCCACCAGGGCTGCACCAAGGAATCGAGGTTCCAACCCATGAGCCTTGAGGATCACACTAGCCATAGCACCGTGCTGCCCTATGCTGTCCTCTTGACATGAAAACCATTGTTTCAATGGAAGAATTGAGGTATGCCACGTCCTGGTAGGGAGGGGTGAGAAAGGAGGATAATTTTGAGCTCCCCCTTTTTTCCTCTATGAAATTTTATTTTATTTTATCCCATTTGTCCCTTTAAAATTACTTTTGCTCTTTCTTTTCCTCCCTTCCCTTCTGAGTCTTGGCCTTGTCCTCTCTGCGACCCATATTCCTCTGTGTCCTGGCTGTGGCCCCTCCAAGTCCTGCCCTATCCTCTCCACATCCCGATGGAGTCCCCTCCGTGTCTGGCCCGTGGCCGCCTACTTTTGTACCCTCGAGGATGAGCCATCTCTGGGCTTCATGTGTCTGTTGTAAGTGGGGGAGCTAAAGGCACCTTCTTCAAAAGGCTGCTGCTGAGTGTGCATAACCCAAGTCAAGAAGTGTGCAGAGTGCCTCACAGACTATGGAGGCAAGGTGAGTTGGCTGCTCTACGAGGTTCTTCCTATAATGATGATGAGGATGACCAAAAAGAACAGTCATTTTGGAAATTTGCCCTGGCACACTGCAGAATTAAATGTGCTTAGAGAAATAAATTTAGTTACAAAGAGGCTTTGAAATTTGTTTGGAACATTTGCCTACAGAAGGTTTTTTGGCAAAGATCAATTTCTGGTATTTTCTTCCCTCCTACAGACAAGTTTCTTTTGTTACGTTGAGCAGTGGTGAACATCCATTAGGATGAAGTAGTCACTGAAAACTAGAAAAGGATAAAAAGCCACTTGAAGCCTGCTGAGACTACAGTTGCAATATTTTTATACATGTATTTCTTTTTTTTGTCTTTCAAATGAGCTTTTACATGTATGATTTATTTTAATTAAATTTCCTGTGCACTTTGCTTGAAAGCTAAATTCCTCTGCAGGGTGTGCGTGATCCCAGGCAGCTCTCCCCTCTCCTGCTGGCCCCATTCCTTGTTTTGAGTGAATCTTTGTTTCCCTTACTCATCTGTGCTCTAGCCTTAGACACAGTCTGTTGTCTTCATGTGGATGGGAGTTTGGTCTGATACTTCACAAGAAAGCAGTTGTGAAGCTGACGCTCAGCCTCTAGGACCCCAGGCCTTTTCCTTGTCCCAGCTGGGCTCCTCCTGGGATGTGGGACAGGAAGACAGGGTCCCCATGTCACCTCTCAGAAGTTCCCAGCTTCCTCCATAGAGGGCACAGGTGCACAAGGAAGAGCCACAGGGAATGGGGCCCCTGGACATAGTGGCCACAGCCTTGGTTTCTACCTTCTTGGTATCACAGGCCCCAGGCCATGGGCCAGCACACAGCCTCCCTCTCAGGCAGGACAAGAAATCAAGGACCCTCTTAACTGTACATCTGTGGGCTCCAGGCAGTAGCACTATGTGAGGACAGTCTCAGGTGAGTCTGGGTTGGCCCATGCTTGCTAGTTACCTGATGCTCTTGCCCATGTGTTTCCTTTGCCTCCAAAACAGGCATGTGCACCCACATAGAGGCACATGCAGCCACTTCCTCCTTTCCTCTCTGCATAGCCACCTGGAAGTTTGGGTGACCACCCTCCTCAGAGTTTGCATTTTGTGGCTGTGTCACCAACACTGACAAGTGAGCCTTGTCCTATGCCATGATTGCTTTTCTCCAATGTGACTTTCTGTTTTCCCTAGAGTTCATGATTGCTTTTGTTTTTATTTGTACTTTTCAAATACAATCAGTGCTCTTCTCTGAACTTCTCCTAAGGCTTCCTAAGAAGCTCCTTCAGTGTCTACCTCTTGATGAAGCTTCTCCTATGCATGCCCCGGGTCTAGACCTGCTATCATCCTGGCCTCTTCACGGGGTTCCCTCAGGAGCTCCCACCCTCTGGTGCTGGATTCTCTAATTCTTGGATTCCACATATCCTCATTCTTTTATCTCAGTGTGATAGAGCACAAACTCTAGTAGCTTCTTGAGAAAGAGAGAAGGGAAATGTCTGAGATCTTGCACATTTGAAAATTCTTTAGTCGTCCTTCATGCTTCACTGATTGGTTCATCCTGTGGTCTCAGTGTTTGTCTACTAATTCATATGTTGAAAAAATATTCCTAGTGCAATGGTAGTAAGAGGTTGGACCTTTGAGGGCAGTAGGTCCTGGGGTCCCTGCCCTCATGAATGAGGTCACTGCTCTTATGAAGCAGCTGGAGGGGCTCACTCACCTCTCCTGCCAGGATAGACCAGGGAGGAGGTGGCTGTCACCTTTGAATCTGTAGGTGCTTTGATCTTGTACTCCCAGCTCCCAGACAGTGGCAAATACATTTCTGCCATCTATAAATTCTCAGTCTAAGACACTGGTTACAGCAGCCTTCAAGGAGTGAGACAGCAGGTGCAGCATGCTGGGTGGGAGATTGTTTATTTCTGGACTTGGGAAGACACTGGTTTATGTGTCATAGCTTCCAGTGTGGCTGTGGAGAAGGGAGACTTGGTCTTTGGGGCATGCATTGATGTTTCTCTCAGAGGACCCTGCTGGCTCTTGAAGGGGTCCTCACCATGGAACTCCTCCTGGGTGTCTCAGTCAGAGCCACCATCACACTCTAGATGGTGAGAATTGCAGTACAGCTGGCTGGCTCCCTGACCTTGGCAGGTTTTTCTTCCTAGCTGAGACTGCAGGGCATGGAGGAAGGTGAGTCACTTCCCAATTCAAATCACAAACTCAAAACACTGTGCTCACAGGTGAATGAGCCCTGAGTCTACAGAATGAAGAGTTCTACAGAGTTTCCCAGCACCCCAGCCTCACTGGAATTTACCTATAGGGCTTAGAGAGTGGTGTCTGGCCATGTGGGCTAGTGGGCTCTTCCCATCCTGCTCTGGGTCACCAGGTCTCAGTGGCCTAAGCATGAGCAGAGTGTTGTGGGAAGGCAGGCTGGCTGCAAGGGGCCCCTCAGGGGGTGTTTGGGGCCCATAAGGCACTGAGCCTTCTCACCAACATGGTCTGCTTAAACTCAGGCCAGCCTCTTACCCTTGATGAAGTCTTTGTCCCCCAAGGAAGACTTTGGGTGCTGATAGGGTGGTAATGCTGCTGGTTATGAGGCTCACTGTGGGAAGACGGTAGCGGCAGCAGTGATTCTCCCCAGGAACATGAGTAAGCCCAGACAGTACCCAGGGGAGCTCACCCAGGAGCTCACCAGGTCAGCAGGGCTAGCCCACAGCCTGGTCTCTGCTCCTGTTCTCTTCACTGGGAAGCCCTGCCCTTTGGCCCTCAGTTGCTGACCAAGAAAAGTTAGGGCAACCTGAGCATGAAGACAGAACCCTACTGGGGATAGGGACCGTGCTCCTCAAGGGCCCACCCAGCAAGATGAGAACCTTGACCAGGTAGTGCTGGACCCTTACTGGGTCTGAGCTGGGTCATAGTCTGGCTCCAACCTTGGCTGGGACCTGAGGCTCAGTTGCTGAGCTGCCCAAGCTGGGCTCTTTACAATCATGAGGCTCCCTGGTGTCTGCTGAGCAGTGCAGAAACCTGACATCCTGTGCCTTTGTTCTCACCTCCACTGTGACTCCTCCAGGTCCCCCATGTGGTTGTGAGGAAGAGTTGTCCCCACAGAGGCCACTGTGCATCTGAGTAGCTGGAATTGGTGCCTCTTGCCCTCTTTGAGCTGGACACGAGCACAGGGACCCCAGCACCTCACCGCCCAGGCTGTAGGAAGCAAGGGCCTCCCTGACTCAGTGCCCTGGGGGCTGGAAGTCACCACTAATGCACTCAATAACTAAATTATGAGAAATCTCATGATTTCAGAAAAGAGCTCAAACCCCTGACTACTGCATCTTCCACATAGACAGCTATGGTAGGAATTTGGTGCCAGCACATGAGCAATACATCTGCTTTTTAAAAAATTATTTCTAGTATTCAAAGTGTTTTTCATTCAGAGTTACTTTTTTAAAAAAAATTTTATTTCGGAATTACTCTTTTTAGTTGAGTGTATTTGTGGGGTATGGTGTGATCCTGCACATGCATACGGCAAGTGATGGCAAATCAGGATGGGGTGCAGCTTGGAGGCTCTGCACCTGATCCTCAACACTGTAGACAAATGGATGAATAAAAGGTCAAATCAAGATAGTCAGCTCTTCCAGCCTCTTAAACAGTTACCACTTCTTTGTCTTGGGAAGCTTCAAACTTCTCTCTGCTGGTCTTTATAAAATGTAGTTTTGTGAACTTGAATCATCCTTCTGCTCTGTAGGGCACAGAAATTATCCTCCTGCTGGCGCACTTTCCAGATCAAGGTGTATAGGGAGCCAGACCTGAGCAGGACTGAGCACTGGATTCCAGTTCTGGGTCACAGAACCTCGCTCTGCACCATAAGGAATTCAGGCGTTGGTGCAAACCCACAAGAATGGCCAAGGAAGCACTTTACTCACACACACTCGAAGATTAGAAGAAGATTAGAAGAAAACCCCGTGAGTGGATTAACTGTGTACGCAAGTTCTGGAAATGAGACCAAATGTGTGGTGGACATGGACCAAGCCCTGCCAGCCTGAGGAGCCGCACAGGCCACTTCCTGGTCCCTTGTTGAAGGGCGGAGCCCAAACGTTCCCGCCAAGTTTAGGGTCCTGTCCTGGGACTAATTTTGCAAGCATTAACCAGCACTTCATAAGAATGGAGCTGGAGGGAGAGCAGGAGGGGAGGTGGGGGAGGTAGAGCACGCAGTGGGCTGCAGCACAGGGAATGGGCAGGATCTGCTTGTGTGGAGCCAGTGGGCTGGTAGCACGGAGCATATCACTCCTGCACCCTAGGGTTGCAGGCACCGGGGACCCATGTCCAGCTCTCGCAGGCCCCTGGGGCAGCTCTGAGGACACAAAGCAGCCACAGAGAGAAACGCAATCTGTGCTGTGAGCTCAGGCCCCCTGGGAAACTCAGACATGTAGAAGAGACAGCCCACCACCAGGGGCCACCTCTTGACACCCGAATTTGAGTTCATTTGCATCTCTGGCCCCAGGGTGGCCCCTGACAGGCTGGGTGCTTCTGTTGGGGTGGGGCAGGAGGGTCTGGATGGATGCCTGGAACGGGATGGGGCGAGGTGCCCTGACCGCCTGTTCTGCATGGCGAGCTGGCAAGGAGAAGAGGGTGTGGAGCAAATGCAGAGCAGGGGCTCAGCCAGGGAGGGTGTGGGCCGTGGGCTCTAAAAAAGGTTTTCTAAAAGCACACATCAGGGGTCAAGGGGGAGCTTGTCAGGGCAGGGTGGGGCATCTCCTGACAGCCTGTGCCAAGCCCCGGTCCAGATGACCTTGAGGTTCGGGGAGGGAAGAGAAGGATGGGAGGAGAGGGGCTGTGGATGGTTCCAGGGGTCAGATAACAAGCAGTCTTGGAGGTCATGGAGAAGAGACTGGCAGTGTACCCTAAATCCAGTAGGAAAGACACCTCAGGAACCTTTAACCAGAGGGATGACACGGTGTAATCTACGTTTGTAAAAGATCCCTGAGGGTAAAGAAAGGGTCATAGACCGTATTAGGAAAGACAGGACCACTAGAAGCGATCAGACCAGTCCTGGGATGAAGGAGAGGGCTGCGGGTATGGAGGTGGGCTGTGGGCTGGATTCTGGGCACTGAGTCAGCACTGTCACCTATCTACCAGGTGGTGTTTCTGGCTCCTTCAGAGCCCCAACCCCCTGCCCCCATGCCCATCATCCTTCCCATTGATCAAATGCGAGGATTTCACATTCATTGTGTCGTTTAAGCCTCATGGTTTTGCAGCCGGTTCAGGATGCTGTAATGAACCACTGAAGACTGTGTTCCTCAGCAACAGTTATTTTTCACAGTTCTGAGGTGGGGTATCCCGTGGTCAAGAAGTGGGTTCCGTCTCAGGGGAGGGTCACTTCCTGGTTTTCAGAGGGCCGCCTTCTTGCTATGTCCTCTGTGCTAGTCAGCTCTTCACAGCTGTGACCAAATCTTTGAGAGAAACAGCTTAAAGGAAGAAAGGTTTGTTTTGGCTCCCAGCTCAGAGGTTTCAGTCCAGGACCAGCCAGCTCCATTGCTTTCAGGCCTGTGGTGAGGCAGAAACATCATGGCGGAAGGAAATGTTGGAAAGCCGAGAAGAAGACAGAGAAGGAGCCAGAGACAGAGAGAAGAAGGGGCCTGGACAAGATACACCCTTCAAAGTGTGTCATTATTCACAAAAGAGAACCCAGAGAGCTCCCTGCAAAGGTGTGCTTCCTCCCCAGGGACCTCTTCCCTCCCGCAGTGGGCCACCCCTTCATAGCCCATTCATCTGCCAGCTCATAACGCTGCTAGTGCCTTCACGATCCAGGCACCTCTGGAAGTTGCTGCCCTGGAACAGAATGGCAGGGAGCTCTCTGGGGTCTCTTTTGTAGTTAATGGACCTAATTCCACTCATAAGGGTTCTATCTTTTTGACCTAATCACCCCCTCCAAAAGCCCACATCCCAATACTATCACATTTGGGGGTGTTGTGGTTGAGTTCCAGAATGTCCCCCAAAACTCATGCACTCACAGGTGGGGCTTTTCACAGGTAACTGGATCATGGGGTGGGGGGCTAATGCTTGTCAGTGGGTTAACCCACGGATGCACTTACAGCTGAATATGCTGTTGGGAGGTGGGGCCTGGTGGGAAGAGGTGGGGCCCTGGGGTGCACCCTGGAAGTTTGTGTTCCCTTCCTCCCTTTTCTCTCTGCTTCCAGCTGACATGAGGTGAGCAACCATTTCTCTGGTGAAGCCTGCTGACCATGCATGGACTGAGACCTCTAAGCCTGAGCCAACATAAACCTCTCCTTTAAATTGTGGGTATTGTGTCTCAGTGATGAGGAAAGTGACTAAATGGGGCTTATGGTTTAAACATATGGATTTAGAAAATCCAAACATTCATTCCGTATCAGTCCACTCTTGCTCCCATTTAAGTCCTTTTTGCATGGAAAGTGCATATTCATTTCACCCTATGCCTCTCCACAGTCATAACTCATTCCGGCATCAGCTCTAAGCACTGAAGATCATCTAAATCAGATATGAATGACACATAAGGCAGGATTTGTCTGAAGACAGAACTCCTCTCTCTCCATTTGTGAAACTATGGAACCAAACAAGTTATGTGCTTTCCAAATCCGGTGGTGGGACAGACAGACAGAAGGGAAGATAGGAAGGAGAAAAGAGGGTCCAGTGCTATCAGGCAAGTCTCACAAGACCTTAGGGCTGGAGAATGACCCTCACTTTACCTCCAGACCCCAGGGCCTTTGGTCCTGGCCCCAGAGCTCTGCCAAGCAGGAGAACAGCCCATGGCTTGGGGCAAAGTTTGCCTGCCTATTGAAAGTGAGTCGTTGGCCTCCCTGCAAGGAGGCTGCCCTGATGACCTCTGAGTCTCCTTCAAGGTCAGTTTCTGCTTGTCTGGAAGGAGAGTGCTTTGAGAGCTCTGAGGTCTTGTCCTGTGAAACCTACAGGTCAGAGAGCTGCTTCCTGGCCCCCACATCCCAGTGCCCAGAAGGTGGGAGTAGCCCATCAGGTCTGAGGTTCACATTCGTGGTAATCTCTTTACTAAGAGTCACTTGGGTACACTCTTAATGTTCTCTTCTGATTATACATTTGATACATTTCAATTATACCTTTTTTTCAATATGGATAGATGAGAATTTTCTGGATTTTGAAGTTTTAGTTCCTTCTTTTTGCTTAATAATTTTGTCCTCAAGCCGGTCTTTCCTTGCATTCAATATCAGCAGTCAGGAGGAATCAAGCCATTCTTCCAACAGTTGGCTTAGAAATCTCCTCCACTAAAACCCCAGTTTCATCAGGGCTCACAAATCCACCTTCCAGGAAGCACTCAGGAACACAACTCCGGCAAGCTCTCTGCCACTTTGTATCAAGGATGTCTTTCTTGCTGTTTCCAGAAACACTTCCTTCTTTCTCTCCAATACTTCACCAGAGGGTCTGTATCATCCAGACTGCCACCGACTGTCTGCACCTGGTTACTTGGACATTCTCGGAGAAGACCAAGGCCTTCCTGTATCCCTCTATTCTTCACTAGAATCACCTCAAAACCCTCTTTGCCCTCTTAAAGCTCAGCTTCTTCTAGCGTGCACCTCCAATCTCCATGAGCACCTTCCATGCCACAGTTGTATTTTCCCAGCACCACTCCTGCTACTGGCTGGAGTGGTGGCCAGTGGCCCTTTTCACGCTCTTGCTCTCTTGTTCAAGGAATTGGATGAAATAACCAATGAACATAAAAGTTTAACATTTATTTAAAGGCAAACAAAAGAAAGGTAAAAGAAGAAGAAAAAGAAGTGCTCAAGAAGAAGTGCTCTGGAGAGAAGACATACCCTGCATGCAGGCCAGGCCACAGCAAGAACAAGGGGGCAGTGGTGGCAAGGTCCGTCTGCTGTCTTTGATGTCTTTTGATGTCAGGTCCAGACAGTCAGTGCGAAGCCGCATCTCCACGGAGATTTGCCAACTCTCTGTGATTGATGGGTCATGCCGGGTTGTCCAGGCTCTTGGCCATGCCCTAGTCTCCTGCTTCACTCTTGCCTCCTAGTAGGTTCCCTGTCATAGCCAGGCTACCATGACAAATGACCACTGACCAGGTGGCGTTAATGACAAACACTTGCTTCTTATGGTTCTGGAGTCCAAGAAGTCCAAGTCAAGGTGCTGGTAGAACCACTGTCTGCTGAAGGCTTTTCCGGTCCACAGATGGCTGCGTTCTCACTGCACCCTGATGCTGTGGAGACTGACCGCTCCCTGGGGTCCTTTTGATAACACCACTTATCCCATACATGAGGGCCCCAGCTCCACTGCCTAAGGTCAGTGGGTGGGATCAGCACATGAACTCTGGCAGGACACAAACCCTCGTCCTGTATGCACTGTACCCATGATGCACCATGATGGTTCTCTCACTGGTCAGAACACCAAGCCCCTTCTCCACTGGTGTCACCTAACACTGCTGGAAATGCACATTCTCAGGGTTTCAGGGTCTACTGAGTGTGTGTGTGGGTGCTCTGGGAGCCTCTGGGAGGTGGATCCATGCTCAGGTTCTGAACCCCTTCTTAGAGCACCCCCCCACTTCACAGATGAGACAACCATGGGCCAGGGGCAGTGCTGGGGTCAGGACCCAGAACTCACACACAGATGCAAAAAAGCTAAGAGCAAGACTGGCACAGATAGCAAAGCAACCCTAGTACTTTAGTGAGCTCACTAGTAAGGAGCTCAGGATGCTGCAAACTCTGACTTAAAAAGTAGAGGAATGGTGCCCCGGTCACATTGAAATAAGTTTGGGGACAGAGATATGATGGGTTGGTTAAGATCCTTAAGGACAATAATTTTCCTACAGGACATCTGCATCTTGGGGTAGACAGATTCTCTAAACTACCATGCAACGTCAGTGACTCACCTCACAGAACAGTCAGTGGCAAGTAGAAAGTGAGTCCCTGAGGTTGTGTAGTGATCCCGAGGAGTCTGGTTAAAGGGTGCCCTGCATGGCAGTCCATGGTTACACCAGCACCTCAGGCCCAATTCTGCATTTACATGCTTCTTCCCAACACCTCCCGCTGTAGACAGCCTGCCTGTGAGCGCCTGACCAGGGCACATCTGGGCCCCAGCTGTGTTCCTGAGGGCACCATGGCCCAGGGGCAAAGTTGGGGGTCAGAATCCTAGAGCCACTGCAGGAGAGAGGCTATAACCTTATTTTGTTGTTTGATTCTCCTAGATTTTCCACAGGGACCATTTGGGAAACTTTAAAGTATTAAGGGGGGGGGGAGCCTGTTTCTATTAACATTGCCCCCAGAGCAATAACAGCTCTGCAAGTTTCAAAACAAAAATATTTTTCTGAGTGCTGAACAATGCAGCCATCAGAGGACGATGTGTCACGGCTGGGCAGCAGGCTCCGCAAACAGGCTATTATTAGTTCTCCCACGACCCAGAGCCCTGGTTTACACACCCTGACTGGGCCACACTTCCTGAAACTAGCAAAACCCTCTCTAATTAGTCTGTTAATAGAAACCGGTTGGGAGCCCACTTATTTCTGTGTCCAGTTTTTCCTTCCAATCTCTTAGATCCATTAAACATCATATAGCTGGAGGAATCCAATGATTTTGTTAACAACAATAACAACAAAAAAACTGACCAGGTTTTAACAACCAGAGTGAAAAACAGCAATCACTTAGCAATCTTTCCAACTCAAGTATGAAAAATATTATGGTGTTTATTCTTGGTAAACCCTTTGGTGCTGTAAACAGTTTGAGGGGCTGCGTTGATTATGGAGAAGATGTGGTTTTTTTATTAGTACCTGTTTACTGTATGTATTGAATACTTTCATTGGGGTAGTTGGTACATGTATGTGACACATCTTAATCCTTTTTAAGTCCCTTTCCCTCCCTTTTCTCCCTTCCCCTAATCTCTTGGTCTCTTTCTCATTTGCAAAAGAGGCATTGTCTATGTTTTACTTTGCTTTTCACTTTATTTATACTTTGGGTTTCTTATGTAAGAAATCACGTATCTCACATATCTCATGTGATATTTAAGCTTGAGTGTCTGATTTATTTCACTTAACATTATGGTCTCCATAAGAGTGCGTCCATTCTCCTACAGATGACTTATTTATCCTTCTTTACAGCAGAGTAGTACTCCATTCTGTATAAACACATTTTTTTATCCAGTCATCTGTTGATGAACATAGGCTGAGAAGATGGTGGGATGATTTTGAAGTGAGACATTTTATGCTTGAGAAGTTGGGCTCGGCATTCCATTCGGAGGTGTGAAGGAGGCGTACGTGGGTCACATCACCTGGGGAATAAAGGAGGCAGCGCCGGGCAGTCTGCATGGGGGAGGTTGACCAGCACGGGATGGAGCAGGGAAGGGTGCTCACTGGGTGCACTCGTTTTCTTCAGATGTTTTCCTGCCCTCAGTGCAGTGTGAGGTGCTGCCTTTGCGCCCCACTGCCGGATGAACTCCCTGAGTGAGGACCCTGGTATCGTTTCGTTAATTCTGCTGCAGCCGAGCCCGGTGGATGGTGGGTGTAAAAAGCACTGGTGGGATCATAAAGGTAGGAATGGGGGCTGGCGGGAGGGAGGACACGCACCTGCATGATGGAGGGCATGGGTGCCCGACCGCAGGCGGAGCCCAGCCCATCCGTGCCCGAAGCTTCAATGTGGGCAGGCACAGGCCCAGCCGGCAGCTTGTGTGAAGCCACCACCTGCAGGGTGGGGTGCAGCTGCTGCTCCTTCCTCTCCAGGGCGACCGGACTCTCGGGAACCACAGGCTGGCCTCAGCTGCCCACAGACAGAACTGGGGCTGCTGCGCTGGGACCTCTGGGTGCCAGCCTGACCCTGACTGGCCCCCATCCTCCACCCTGTGAGGCCATGGAGCCAAGGCACCCTGTGTGGTCAGGGTTTGGACGGAGACCGTAGATAGGGCTGGGCAGTGGGAAGGGTTACCCTCGGGCCCTGTGCAAGCCTTTGACCTCACGGTGACCTGGCTGAGCCCACACAAGGCAGATGCTTATGTCTAGAGATGCTGCAAGTGGTTTACCCACAAGGGGGTGGCAGTGTTTGCAGAGCACGTCATCTCCCCCTCTGGCCCATCCCATCCCCTCCACTGGTGGCTCGGCTGTGGGCTGCGTCTATTCCCTGGGCCCCCAGAGTGTGTGCACAACTCTGTGTGTCCCTCATTCCCCTGGGACCCTGCTCTTCCTGCTGTCGGGGTGGGAGTGGGGCACTGTGCTTGGTGTATTCTCGGTGGCCAATCAGGCTCCAGCTGTCATCCTTGTGCTGTGAATTGTGCTCCACATGGAATTAATGCTTCTTCTGGGAGGGCTGAGCTCATCATTGTCACCATCCACAATGGCCCAGGCTGAAGAGTAGATGTGCACAAACTGGCCCAGCTCTGGGGATGGTGCTGGGAGAGCCTTCCTGGTAGAGCTGGGTTTTGAGGGATGAGTAGGAGTTTGGGGGGGGCGCACAGGAGGGCATGGGAGGGGAAAAAGATACTCCAGGCAGGTCACACAGCTTGCTCAGTGATAGGCCAGCATGTTAGGGCAGGGGCAGCTCAGCTGTGGGAGGGCACAGGTGGTTCAAGCGGGTACCTGTGGGACTGCTCCAACCCCTGTTCCGTGGGTGCACTCAGCCTCACTTGGCTTAGGTTCCTCAAGTCCCTTTGTCCGGCCAACTCTTGCTCCTGTACTCCAGCCAGCTCAGCCTCCCTCCCTCTCCTGTCCCTCCGGGTTGCCTAACCATCAGCATCACCAAGTCACAGTGCGCTCTGCACTGCGGGTTCCCAGTCAGCCCAAGCTTGAAGGAGGTGTCAGGACGTCTCTCCTCATCATCACACTTGCCCCTGAGACATGGGGACACTGAGCCCCACATCCAGGTGAGAAACTCATGAGATTCTTATTCAGAGCCAGACGCCAGGAAGTTGGAGGGAGCTTCGCACCGATTCCTGGACAAAGCCCTCCATTTCCCCAGCGTGCACATGCTCTAGGAGCTTCCTGTCAACAGCAGCCCCCGTGGATGGGGGGTTGTCACAGGCCCTGCAGGCCTGGGTCAAAGGGCAGCGGTGGTGGTGCCCACGCCCAGTATTTTTGAGGGCAACACTGTGAGGTTCTGTGATTTACTCCCCATAAGCCGAGGACAGGGGTGGCTTTGTTTCCCCCTCTTCTGGAGGGATTGCCAAGGGTGGTGACTCTCCCAGGTGTCTGTGAGCCTGGTGTCTGCAGAGAGGACAGCAGGGCAAAGCTAACTGAGGGCCTTGCAGTCCCCCAGGATCCAGATGCCAAAGTCGCCAAGATAAGCAACTGGATCCTGCCATTGTTTCCTGGAAGGCGGAGGAAGGGGAAGCCTGCAGCCCAGGCTCCCTGCTCAGCGCCCCGGCGTCCTGGGCAGTCTGCCCTCTGCTAGGGTCTCGGCTGGCGTTTGTGTCAGGAAAGTAAACCGTAAACGTGGACGGCCACACACTGTTGCTAAGGAAGGCCCTGCTTATAGCTGGGGGTGCTGGAGGACTTGCACATCTCCTCTGTCTTTAACTCTTCTCCTTCAGGGAAGGCTGTCCCCATCCCCTGAACACTCTAGGTCACTTCCTGGACAATCCGGGTACAGCAACCGACACAGCCCCCACCCCAGGTGACCTCAACACCGCGTCTCACTGAGTGCTACTTCTCAGGGTCTGCGGGGCTTCCCTCTGCTTTCTGTCACTGACTGGTCCTGATGATGGCTGTCAACAGCAGGGGTGACCGTAACTCCTTCAGGTCCCCAGGTCATCAGGACTCCTACCTCAGCCTCCCCCATGACTGGCAGGTGGGTCCCAGGAGGCCCCAGCCCCATGGCTGAACCCCCTCAAGTGACACTGACAGTAGATGTAAGAAGGGGTGGGCTCCATTCTGCTGACGATGCCACTTCAGGCATGAGGCCTCTCTGCTCCCTGTGCGTTGAAGTGATTTCTAGCTTTAGGAACAGAAGGGAACAAGGATATGGCCACCTGCGTCCAGGGTCAAAGGGGCCAAAGAGTCCTCCTCCACAGGGAGGAGCTCTCCAAGGGGCACTGTCAGCAGGGAAGGGAGCAGTCCCAGGGCAGAAACCCTCTGTGTATGCTCTACCGGATGCATCACGTGTCCTCTGGGCTGAGCTTGTCTCGTCTGCACTTCACCCATCTGGGCTCAACTTAGACCCTTCATCCTTCTTTGGTCAGATGTGGGCTTGAACTCTAGTTCCCTCATCAGAGCTGTCTGTACGGCCTCTGTTTCCACATCTGTAAGATGGGCATTCATGCTGTTACTGTGAAGATACACTGAAAGCCTGCCACACAAGATGGGGCATGGACTATGTAAGGGAATTCACCCGAATAAAATAATAAAGTCTTTCTGTACAAGATGCTCCCTGAGCTGTGGCTCATCAGGGGTAATAACTGAGAACAACCCGTGTGCTTGGCACCAGGGGAACTCTGACAGCAGCTCACATTGTGGGGCACCAGTATGTGGTCCCCCCAAGTGATCACTGAGGCAGGCAGATCTTCAGTCACATGGATGAGCGCTCATGGGTTTAATTCCTAGGAAGCAGATTACAGGATTTCTTTAGCAGATGCTTGTAGCTCAACACTGCTTTCCTGCTGTGACCTCACAGGGGTCTCCTCCTGCCTGCACCCGGGGCCAGGCTTCAGTCATAGCCCCTGTGGAGCCATCTGGGGAGACCAGGAGGGCACAGCTATGTGGGGCTGCACTGGCAGAGTCTTCGAGGATAGAAACAGTCCTGGAGCTCAGACAGTGCTGGGCACGGCTGCCACTGGCCTCTGGGACTGAGGGAGGGAGATGTGAGAGGCTGTGGACCAACAGGGGACAGCGTAATAGAGCAGGGAGAGAGAAAGGCCACAGAATGAAGACAGACACCAAGGCCCATGGCCCTGAGGGTTTCTGGGCTCTTCCAGCAGCCTCCTGGGCCCTGGAACAGGTCTTGGCTGGCCTCTGGTGGTCATGGTGGATCTGCACCCCTTGGGGTTCCCTGCAGCTCTGCCCCCGAGCCCTGTAGGGCTCGCAGCTCCAGGTTACCAGCTTTTACTATAGCCCACTCAGTGCACTCTGCCGAGGCAGGAATCACACACGAGCAATAGCACCACACCAGCGACTTGGGGACTGGGGAGGGGTGTGAGGGAGCCTCTGTGTGATGGGAATACTGCATATCTTTCTTTTAATGATTCATTTACTTTAGCTGATACATAAAGCATAAACATTGCCCATGTAAAGTTTTGACATATGTACATATTCCATATCTTAATTGGGGTGGGGTTACATTAGGGTCCAGGTTTGTCAGAACCCACTGAACTGTATGCTCAATGGTATCTTTTATTGTGTGTTAATAATATCTCCATAGAGCTGACAAGCTAAATTGCAAAATAAAGTGAAGTACAGAAAGGATGTTCTGTCACTGTCAGCCACTAAAGTGTCTCTGCCCAGGTTAGCTGGACACAGATGAGCATGTGGGTTGCATATGAGCTGGGACAGGTGAGCCATGACTATGACAGAGGTGGGGCTGGGGGGCCGGAGTATAGGTGTGTGGAAGTGTGGCCATCCTCATGGGGGTCTTGGGCCAACCGAGGCCAAGAAGGGCCAACCAAGGCCAAGAAGAGACAACCCCTCCTGTAAGTGTGGGGAGAAGCCCCTAACCTTCACATTCCACGCAGGGGGGAGCCTGTGTTCCTCACCCTTACTCACTGGGGCTGACCCCCTGTGCCTCAGTTGGCCTGTGACTTGCTGTGTCCAGGGTCAGCTCTTCCAGCAATGACTGGTGCGCCAGGGCTCACCGAAACCCCTAGCTCCCTGGCTCCTCAGAGATGGGCAGCTCCAAGTTAAATGTTTAACTGGCTCCCTGTGCTCCTTGGGGCACTGAGCCTACTGCCCCAGTG